AGGAGCTAATTTCTCACCTATCACCAGAGGTGATGGTGCAGAGCATAATTCCTAAATCTTCTGACTGGATCACATGGCACAACTAAGTTTACTGCAGAACAATGTGGGCAGAACAGCACAATGCCTTTTTTTTTTTTTTGGTTTGCATAAATAACTCCTAATGCTGAGGGGCTCATCCACCAAGTGGCAGAAATGACTTTCAGGCTACTTAACAATAAGCTGTTCTTCAAAATCCTAGCTGAAGGGAACTTTGTAAAACAATATTTTTCAGCTCACATGTGCCACTGTGCAACTGGAAATTTAATCAAGAGAACAAACAAGTAAGATAATTTTACTTTATCCCACAGATTATGCATTTCAGACCTGGCCTCCCGGACTAATTGTCCATTTTTTCATTAGGTTTTTAATTACATCATTCAGAAAATAGAGAATGTAACCAGGAATACCCCTTTTGTAGCTGGATACCCATGACACAGCTTCAAAAGAATAAGGCTTCACAGCACTTTCTTTCCATATGCATCTGAGAGTTTTACAAAATGATGCTTATCATCCAGCCAGTCCCAGACATTCAGAAGGTAAAGTAGCATAATATATATTCTTATTTTTATCAGAACATATATGCTGACACATATGATTGCAAAAAATGGTGTACAGAGGAAATCAGATGCCTTACTGCTGAACTTGTTTTGTGCTGCAATCATTTATACACAGTTCACTTTCATATTCCGGCTTCTGCCTGGCAAAAACAGAGACCTCGATCCTGACGCCACGGTATTCAACCAAAGGATTAGAGGAGCTTACCTGGCCTGCTTCAGTTGTCATCAATCTGTTTTAAATTATCCAAGCTTTTGGTATTGAAGGTTTTGAAATAAGGTACATGGATAGTAAGGCGGAAAAGATCAGTTGTAAAGGGATATGCTAAGTAAGCAGTATTGTAAATGTCTTTTCCAAGTCACAGGCATGTATCACTGTTATCATCAGACATCTTTATATTGTAATTACAACTTTGGTTAAAGACCATCTTGGGAACCATCTGACTGCAACATACCAGATCTAAGAAATTAATGTCATTACTGAAAAACTGCCTTTCAGCTTTTGTTTTGTAAAGAACTCATGCCTGGGGAATGCACAAACTGCTATATTTATAATTAAATGGGTATGGTAAACTGTGTTATTGTACTGCCTTGAATAAAAGCTGACCATTAGCCCCAAAATCTCAATATCAAAACTTCACTAACTGTACCATCCACAGTTAAAGTTATCTTGTCTTGGGCCTTCAGTGATACTTTTCCTGATGTTCAGTAAATGATGAAGAATTTCCCCAATTCTGAACACAGAAGAAACAAAGAAGGGAATGAGTATGGAGTAAGGAAGTTGGTCCCCACTGAATCATCCATTAAAGAAGCTAAAGAGAGAGAAAAGTCTGGAAGACTCAAATGGGATGATTAAAATCCATAAAAATTTTGATCAACATTCTCTCTTTACCTATAAAGTGTCAGGAATGCCTTTCCCCTGTCCCCTATCCTTTCATTCACATTACGTGATGAATCCAACATAAAACTCAGCTATTAAAGAAAATCCCGTACAAAGTACATGGCTGCAGAACTGAGCATAAATAATGGGCAGTAAATAGAAAATGAAAGGGGAAAGGGTGGTGTCAAAGAGAAGAAAAAGCAGCAGAACAGTGGAGCACCATTCCTTCTGGGCACCATGTGAGACATTATGTTAACAATGTCTGGTCTGTACTATATTTACTGCATTTACTTTTACTATACTTACTTTTACAGGAACCTGCACACGGGGCCGCGGGGAACCCCCCGCGGAACTGCACGGCACAGGGCCGCCCCCAGGCCCGCGCAGGGTGGGGGAAAGGAGAGGGGGAGCTTCGCCGGTGTGGCTTTGCACCCTCATGGGAGA